TGTCTGGCTTGTTGTGACGAGATATCACAAATCTAAAATACAGGGTTGACTAACAATCTCGCCTATTCCGGCTTGTTTCTGTATATCCAGAAAAGAGCACTTACTTGCCTTGAAAAACAACCAATTTTCACATAGCCTGGAAAATTGGTAAAGCAAGAATAATGTGTCTGATAAAAGTGTTTCTTGAAAAAATCGTACTAATCTTGTTAATCAACTTCCCCGTGATCTCCGAGATTTTTCTCACAGGTTAAATCCTAAACGCGCTGACAGTCTCCGTCTTTAGCTTAGAGTTATCCACTCACATTCGAAGCTGTTTGTCGGTGTTTGCGGTATTCGCTGTTAGTGAGATCGATTGTTTCATTCGAATTTGTATTCAGTGCACTCTAGCTCGTGAAACGATTCTGTATCACTCAGTCACGTGACACGCGACAAGGGAAAACTGCACTGAGTCCGTTTTTAGTCAAACGAGTAGAATTTTTGGCAGAGACGACGGTTGAGTAGAGGGAGCATTGCTTATTTGGGCACGTCAAAAACAGTACAGTTTGGCTCCCTATTGGTTCACCGACACCAAAAAAACAGTGCGTGGGCTGCCAATGTGTAAAATAAAAAACCTTTTGCTTACATAAGTGACAGAATAATCGATGAGTTTCACAGATGGCTTTGTAGCCATAGGAGGCCCGTCGACGAGCAAACGCTTTCGTTAACTTTCCTTCCGGTCAACACAATCACAAGGAAATGACATTATGTATAGTTGCAGAAAATTACGCACAAAAGAAAAGCTATTTGTATCAAACACATGTTGCCGACCCTCATCGTGAACATGTGAATCTACTTTAAAAATCGTACAGCTTTTATTGCGGACGCACAGGCCACTCAACTGCCCTGTGTAGCACAAGAGTAAGAGATCGCGTCACATGATAGTAACTACATACTTGGAAAAAAGAGTTCAGCTTTTCCCAACTTTCTCTCCTCAAGGGAATAGCCGTCCGTAACGAGCTTGAAGATGGAACGAGACACCGAGACGTTGCACGACATTCCGGATTTATTTCGTAGTGTTCCATCAGGCATGCACTACAGATTGTCTACCAACGAAACGGAGAGCTGTTTCTACTTACATAGATGCAGTAGAGTTCTGAAATTTTCTGAGACCGTTTTTATCCGTAAATGGAAGCCGGATCGTGCGAAACTTCGGTGTTGTATTCCATCCCCAGGTAGTGTACCGTACTGCATTGTTTCTATCTATGTCTGAACGCCCCTGCAATGGCAAAACAACCGGTGTTTCTCTGAGTGTGACCTTTCGGTTGTAACACTCCAGTGTCATATCACGTATTTGCGGGCTAGGCTTAGTGTTCAAAACGAAGTCCTCGTAGCAGCTTGGGCGGAAGAAGTTGTGGGATTTTGTGACCACCATGTTAATCAATTTGAAGACATGACAGGCTGGAAAGCGGGCTCTTTTGCCACTCTCCCTCCCCCTCTCTGGGGACTCGATGTCTATGATTGAACGTCAGTGTACCAGCTGCTGAGAAGTTTTCCAAGGTTGTAGTTACTCACAGGAATGTTCCTTCATGTTCTCACTAGGTGCGACTGACACCGAAATGTTTCTTTAGAGAAACTAAGCCAAAATACCAAGTGAACGGAATGTCCGAAATTTCATAGTCAGCCTCGTAATTCAAACTTGCTCTTAGATTTCACAGAGTTTGGAGTTTACCGACCAACTCTGTTGGGAGGTTCGTTCCACCACCACTTTGAACACCGGGAGTTGATGTGCAGTCATCCTTATCTTTGCGCGGGGGGGGGGGGTGCAAGAACTATCTTCTAGAAGTTTGAAGAATTCTGTCCCGACATCCTACGAAAAAAATTTCTAAATTCCAAAACATAAAATCAACCTGGCCGTTCAACAGTGGCCAAATAAGCTGGGTTATTCAACTATTATTTGGTTTAAAAACGACTTTGAGTCAGCTCGAACTTAAAAGTCGATCCTTCCTGTGCCGTCTCCGTTAGCCCCAAATGAGGTGAAAACTCCTTGGGGATCGGGCACGAGGTTGATTTTCAAGCACGTGACACGCTAACTCTTATCTGTTTGTGAGGCTGACCGACTTCCTAAAGGAAAAAAATAGCTATTTAAGAATGATCAAATCCTGTTAAGCAAGGACTAATCACAAATTCACTTACTTATGCTTTGTAAACCGACCTCGGGAATTTGGTCACGTGGTCAACTGCCCGGGATGACCAACCTAAAAACGACCTACCTCGACCAGATGAATTCCGTCGAAGGAAGACGGTCCCATGTGAGTGAGGTTTTCGGGAACAGTGTACAGCAATACCAAATAGCATGCAGAATCCACGACGATTTATTGGCACGTGGAAAGCAGACCTAACAGATTATTCGCAAGGTTGTTGTATACTCCTCACTTGAACGAGACCATTATAAACAAGAGGTTCAGCTGAATTCCTCTCAAAGCCAAATCTGTATGCCAATGAGAAGAATTTTTGAAAGCGATCTTTTCTTCAGCTGTGTCCCACGCTAACTACAAATGGATGCAGGCGTTGTTCGATCTGGGTTCTGTGCGGTTGATTGGTTCGTCGTTGTTGGTTATTGATCAGGTAGCCGTTATCTGTTCGCCGAGCTTGGCAATTGACTTGCATATGTTTCGTCACCATGCGAGATGGCGTCGTCAGTGCACAGTTTGATGGGTACCTCTTGTTTGCCTGTGTGCGTTTATATAGCACTCAAAGGCTATCTGTTATCTCTTAACGTGATTGGCTAGTTGGGTGACAGCGTTTTCCGTGAATTTATTGGTCAGTTCGTGGTCTATATTCCATTGTGGTTTTCGTCCCTTCGTTTTTGTGGAGGCGTTTTTTTTAGTGAAACCCAACCTTCTGCCATAACCAAACAATGAGATACGCTTATTATACGTCCCAATTACTTCGGCATCATTAGGGTCTTATTTGAAGGGACTCCAACCAACAGTCGACGGTAGGCTTTTTCAAGTCGATTTGAAGAGAGGTGAGAATACTGTGTACCTGAGTAGTTTGTCCGCAAGTCCACGATCCAATGGTTCTGTTCGCGCCCTGTTCCAGTTTCATCACGTCCTACTACAAGAGTTAACTTCGTTCTTCTATTACACGGAAATGGAAAATTTCTAACCGATCGTAGCCGGCCATGGTCCTAACTTTGTCCGGTGGCCTGTTTTATAAGGTTGTATTCTAAAACCAGACGATGTTATAAATGTGTCAGCTGGTTACACTATGATTAGCTAACGGTCAGATCAGGTCGCAAAATCCCTTGACTTGTTTACGCAGTACAATCTTTCGTCAGCGTATATACTGATCAGCAAATCAGCCACAATAACCAGTACGACTTGCCCGAGTGAATTTCGATAAAACAATTACTCTGAGAAGCGAGGGGAGTGTTTTCAACTGCTGACAAAAAATGCAGGCGAATATCTTGGTCAAGGAACACACAGAAGCACAACAGAACTGGCAAGCCATTTGATTACTTCAGATTGAATAGACCACATAGAGGTCTGATGTCTGAAGACAGCGTAGGTCACTACAGCTTCTTCGAATGGTAGGGACGGCAGAAGACTAGTGAAAATAATGAAATGAGTTGAACACATCGGTGGCCCGTAGAGGTTCTTAGTTTACCCGGTTCTGCAGTTTAGGCTGTCGGAACCTTGCGATACTTATTAGGGTGGCGCCTTATGTTTAAAGATCCCCAGCTCAGGTTCACTCTTGAGTTCTTTGTTGTTGTTGCTGCTGTCTAAGGAACTTGTCAACTACATACTGAACGGCCACCAAAACTTCAGTCTTCCCGACAGCACTTCAGTTGCTACGTCTCTTCTGGTACGTATTAAACGTTACCAAAATTTTGACACATCTTTTTTGACGAAGATAATTATGGCCTTTTATTTGGTTACAGTTTTGCTAACATGTGGCTGGCTAAACAACCCTGGTAGTTTCTTTGCACATATCGCTGGTTGGATATACCCTGGAAACCTCAATAGAAACATAGGACGCTAATATAATCTTTTTACGCGTGTTTTGTTCAAATCCGGAAGCTCGACCTCATTTAGAACTCCAGATTCTTTGTCCTTATCATGATATTGTTAACGTTTAGAGTGCCTCATTCATCCATGAAGCTTTTTCGGACGGACATGACTTGTGGAACTTTCACTCGTTAAACCAAAGGCGAGGTCGACTTCGAACCACGGACTTTCCGGTCAGTAAGTTCGCGCTCTACCCACTTGAGCCATTTCGGACTAATGGACTAGCTGTCCGTCGGTGACGATATGTATGAGCGAGTGTCCGCTGTCTAAAGGGAGATGATAGAAATAAGAGCCTCCGGACACGTAACCTAGCTGTTTCAGCCAGGTATGTTGAAGCCGGATTAGCCCGGCTGTCGCTAGTAACGATTCGAGCGTATTACGCAATCAGACGAGCTACAAGGCAAGCCCGTCAAGATAGTACATTGTTTGTGACTGATCAAGCTGAACTCTGTCTCAGAAAGCATCTGAAAATAAGTTGCAAACCTGGGTAGTTTACTCAGGTTACTGGAGTCTCTTTGTAGCTACGACATTTCGTGTCCAGTGGACGGTGAGAAGTAAGCTAAACGTCACTATCAACCCGAGTGAATAAACGTCAGTTTGGTCTGCAACACTATGCATCACTCAATGGTCTATTCCCCTATTGTTGCGTGTTCTTGATCTTCAACGGTCATCTTATGATGAAAACTCGAGCAATGTGGTTAGCTTTTTCTCGGGAGCTACAGTTTAGTTTGAAATAACCCATGGTTTAGGGTGTGAGGTTACTGACCGGAGAATCGCCTGCGTTATGTACTTTTCAAGGACCTTGTATATGAGACCTTCGGCACAGTGCGAAATCAGTCATGTGGAAAAAATCACCAATGCTCTGTTGGCTGGATGTATCCCCCTCAACGACTCATATCTCTGAAGATATTGGTGATTCGAATTCTTTGGTTGCCAAACGGTCCATCTTAAATGTCTGTTTTGCCCTGGCCTGATCTTCCCTTGTTTGAATGGTTCATCCACACTGTGCCTGGTTGGAGACACTACAATATATGGGTGCCAACCAATGTCAGTGGCGTTCTTGTTGTCAGTTTCTATCCAGATGGCCTGAGTGAGTGTCTGGAGGTATATACACCTCGGAATGATTGTGGTTAGTCAGCACTAAGTCCCTTCCCCGTCCACTTTTACTATTTTCTTTACAATAAGGCTTTCAAATAAATCATGGTGGTACAGCAGTGAAGCATCGGTGTTGAACACTGATGTCATGCTGTCGATGATGATGGTGATGATGATGATGATGATGATGATGATGATGATGATGATGATGATGATGAATGGTTCATCAGAGCCATCGTTTTCAGTGGTTTGCATTCTTGGTTCTTATTGACCTCTCTGATATTTACGGCAAATTGTGGTTTAGTCCTTCTGATGAGTTTACTACGTACACTCATTCGTCCCTTCTGGAGCAGTATAGGATGTGAATCGCTGTTCGATTTTGGTTGCTCTACACCAGATATTGCGTGTTCTTATTGGCCAGTGTGATACATCTGGCGAATCTTGGCTATCCGTGTGAGATCCTGATTCGCTACTGTAACATTTCTAGTTGATATCACTTTTGATTCGTCCGTGCAGGTACATGTTTCATGCATACGGACCCTCGGCTTTAAGTGTCTACTTACTCAGTGAAGATAAACAATTTTAACTCGTCTAGAATTATACTAATGTAAAAATTGACTACAATGAACCAATACACTATTGTTTTTACAACAATGGTGGAATCGATGCCAGAGTCATGAAAATCAATTGCCGTGAGTCTTTAAAAGAAAATCACCTCAGCAGGATTCAGCAGCGTTGGAAGGTACTCAACGGCACAGCACATCGGAACTGTATCAATAAGCAATCGGGCGATCAAAATTGACTGTTGAACGGTAGGGTGAATTCTCAGCTCATTCGAATTTTGTATGTGTGCTTATCCGTCACGAAGAGACTGGACCTTACCGTGGTGTGGTTGGTGGTTTGTGTACCCCGGTGACTGGGGGTGTCCGCGCGACACAGAGTCTCTCATACCAGATTAGTCGATGGTCTGGCCAACACAGTCTCATGATCCTCCAAGTTGGGATTGGAACATGTATGGCTTTGATTGAGGACCCCAATCGTCCTCCTGTCTATGTGCGGACGCCCTGGATGTATCCCAGCCCACGTACAAATACGACACTTACAATTAACAATACTCTCAACCCCTTATCGGCCCTCGCGTGGTACCTTCAGCCGGGTCGCCTTACGCGCTGGATACAGCAGGGCGGGTAAGCTAAAATATGCTATTGCTGACGCCTCCCTTCTTAAACTTGCACGTTTTCCCGCTTTCACCCTACCCCCCCCCCACATTCGAGTGCCCTCTCCACAGGCCCAAGTACCAGGACTGACCTCGCCGTGCGTCACATCCATCTGCAGGCTCTGTACGTTTGAGTTCAGTAACAACTTTGAAGTCTGTTTTCAAGCCCAGAAAGCCTGTCTACTTCACCGCGTTTAATGTTCGCACACTGAAGCAAGCAGGTCAACAGGTGGCTCTTGCTCACCCACTAGATACCCTTTGCATTGATGTTTGTTGTCTGTCGGAAACAAGGATACAGGACGCAAGTTCCGTGACCGAGCTGACTGCCCCTCACTCTGTTTCAGGTTCCGGCTGCGCACCTTTGGTGGTGCAGAGGCCGGTGCAAATTGATATGCTGAGGTGGATATTGTATTGAGCGGAAGAGTCTCTATCTAACTGGATACCCGTTGATATTCGCCTCTGGGCGGTCCATCCGGCAGCGGCTATGAGAGGAGCCAGACGAAGTGAAGTCCTATGTACCCTGTTTTTTATGTTTGCTTACGCCCCAGCTGGCTGTAGCGCTGAATCTGTCAAAGACATTTTCAGTGATGCTCCAGGTGCCCTCTTTTACAGCGGGCTGAAAGCTCAGACATTGTTGCGGTTGCTGGTGGCATAAACACCCAGGTAGGCAGACTAAGCGCTGCTGAGGCCCGATTGGGTGGTCGTCCTGGATTGGACACGAGGAGCACGGGCAACGGAGATCGCCTGCTTCAGATGTGTGTTGATTACAGGCTGTTCCTGTGCAGTACACATTTCAGAAACACGGTTATTCTTTATTGCACGATAGACGCGACAAAAGGATGTGGTCCACCCTCATGAGGTATCTTCCTTAAGATCGAATGTACACCAGATCGCATCTGATGCGCAATATGGCTGCGCACTCTATAGAGGGATGACCTTATTTCTAGAAAGTATCAGCTTAAAGGACAACGAACGTCTTATCTGGAATCTGTCACAAAGTGATACACAAATGTACAACCAAATATCAAATTTTATGCAAGTGGCCAATACCAGCAAAAGTTGAAAGCCTCGCTATCGGGGTGAACGATTGTCACACTAAGTCTATATCCACTGCGGTTGGAAAATTCGACATTCTACTACAGTCAAATTCATCTACGTCTCATGACGACGCGACGAGTCGCCTCGGAGGATTGTTTGCCGGAAATCTACACGGTCCAGACATTACACTCATCTCCACGGTTTTGTGAACATGAAATATGAAAGAAATACCGTAAAATATCTAGTCTGTGGGGCTGTAGAATCTTCATCGGCAACATCCTCGATGCAGAATTGCGTCATATCTATAAACCCCTGATCGGTAAACTGACATCTAAGATATTTTATAGACAGACACTTCAGATTTCGGATGAAGAAACCCAGGAAGCTCATCGGTAGCTGAAGAGCCCATCCATATCGCCTTCTCCTTATAATTCACACTGTTTTCGAAACTCTGACCCGTGGTCTGACTCCTGTCTTGAAACGAACATTCATTGCGGTCCACTTGAGGGTGACATTCAGCTCAACACCAACTTCAATGACAGATTGCCTATCCTTTTTGCTCATTATTGTTGATTTATTCATTCGTTTGTCAGTTTTCAACCTACTCAGTCGCACGACTCGGCGCCTATCCGAGGTAATACGTGAGCGCAAACCAAGCTGCTTGAGAACTAGAACGGCTGGGCACGTGACCAAGGCGATCGCCACTTATCCGATCGACACCAGATCAATCTGCCGAAATCTTTCACAGTGATTTATCGGGTGCCGTCAAATCGTTCAAAAGTTATACATCAAAGAGACTTAAAAACTGCTGATGCGATTGCTATTCCGTAGTTAGCTTACCCCTTCTTATGTCATCAGAAACGCACGTGAGCTTCTTGAGACTGTCTTGGCCCAAAAACCAATATTTCCAGAAGACAAACTAATCAGATAATAACCTTGATTTGGACCTACTGTAAGGCTTTCGGCACCTTTATAATCCTAATAGCTTTATTTGCCAGAAGTGAAACCATATGTGTGCACACCTCTTCTATCATAATGTCTGCTTGCGTCGGTACCCTTCATCGCATGATGGGCACACGTTTTATTTGTGAAACTAATGGAAGAGCGGGGTTATTGGTTGTTGATCAGGTGGCTGTTGATCTGTTCGCCGAGCTTGGCAATTGGCTTGCAAACGTCTCGTCACCATACGAGGAGGCGTCATCAGTGCGCCCCCAACTGTTACCTACCTGCCTTGTGAAGTACTCATCGACTACACCTAGAAAGTCTGGATAGTGTCACAACGCACAAGCGACGGGACGAGAATCACGAATTGTCGACTATCGTACAAGGTTGGATCCTTGGTTTTTCGGGCGTGAGAGATCATTGGGGCAGTTGAAAGTTAGTTAGTGGGATGGATTCTGCAGAATAGTCAAGTCTTCATTTATTACGATAAACACAATTCGTGGAACGGTGTTCGCAATCACACTCCGTTTTCATGTCCTGCCCACACCAGGCGGGACGATTATCGTCGACCTTAAACTCTCCCTCTCATTAGATTATTAGTTGTTACAGCCGGTATTGTTTCAACGTGGTTAACAGTTAATCATTATCGTCGATAGTGATGGCCAAACGTTCACCTCAATTTTCTCTGTGTGTACACTCCATAGTCATCGTTATGTGCGACCCGTACATTTGTTTGCGTTTGCTTGTTTTTGTGCGCGTGTGAATGGTCACAGCCAGATGTGCCTGATCTAAGGTCACGTTGCTATGGTATCCGATTGGGTAGGCGGCTGAGGGCTACGTGCACATGCGCAGAAACGCGTAACAAGCGGCGTGCTGCGCTGCGCTACGCTACGCTGCACGACATCATTGTTCGATCGTCCTCAGGGCGTGTACTGTTCCGGCGAGGTCAGCTAAGGTCAACCAACCTGCATCTACGGCCCGATTGGCTCTGTCCAGCTGGCTTCCAGTCCTCGCACGACTGTCTTGCATCTGATAGGCCAAATGAAGAGAAAGGCAGCGTATGCATATGCGCGGCTTTCAGTTTTCACTCACACCGATGAGATGAGGCTGCAGCCGCGGGTTATCGGACTGCTTCTAAAGCTTGTTTTCCGTTATTGTCGCTTATGAGGCCCCAGCAGGTGAGTTCTTTTGATTTCCTTCTCATGGATAGCGGTCAAACGAACTTTATCACTGTCTCAGCCTAATAATAGTGGTAGCTTACAGCTTATCGTGTGTCCAGGGCCTATGCATCCGTTCCACAATGAGCACGCTGACAACGGGCTCGTTATGGTCACACCAACTGTTGTGCAACTCTGTGTCGGCCCTTGGCTTCCTGCTACGCCCACTATGGTATAACAAAAGACACAGTAGCTTTAGACAGACCGCGAAAGTTGATACCATTGAAACCGCTACATATAGCTAACAACCCATACGGTGATTTTGATAGGCCAGTTTTCAGTTATTTCTCTCTAATCAAAAGTTACATTCTACTCTTCCCCCCTCCCCTCTTTTCTCAACAAGAAACGGAACCTCGGCTTTAGCAACACGTAAGTCTTATTTTATATGATATTCCGTTCGACCAGGGTGTACTGAAGGTGTACACATCCGGTAATGTTGCGACTCACGTCACCCGTGCTATAGCGAGTGGAAAGTCACTCGGGCACGATGACATGTGCATCACCGGGTGTTTTTCACCGTCAGGCACCTGACAAACGTCAATCAGCCCGTCATTGTTCGCCACTTTTCCACATGCGATAACCCGTCTACGTACGATTTAGTCTGAGTACCAGCCTCTTCCGCACCGATATTTTCAGTAAAGGATGCCTCACGGTACGACAAAGGTTTGTGTTGTCAGGTCTGTTTTAACATTTTGTTGCCGCTGAATCCCCGGTCCCCGCCAAAGGCGGGTCAGCGGGCAATCCGTGACCCGAAGGCATTGCGGCCTAGTAATAATCTCCGTAAGTAGTAGCTTCTTTGGCTCAAGCAAAAAATCTTGGTCATTCAGATATTGTCTGTAGAGTCCTGAGGTATATTCAATATACAACACTAACATTCGAATATACACTCATTTGCAAACTAATTTGGTTTTTCGAGAGATTCACCTGGAACCCAGCTGAATCTCTCGTTTGTGATGTTCTCAGGCTTACATTCATTTCAGTGCAATCAAACTGCCCAGCTCAGCGGACAAATCAACAACCACTGAGATGACTTTTCGCGCTGCGCATTCGATTTCACCTCAAACTCCTCTGTGATGCTTGTTTACGTAAGCTTATTATTCTTCGTCCTCTTATTATTATTATTGATTTATTATTGATTTATTCAACATGTGCGCGATATCGCGTCCAACAAACTACCGGATTTGGAGTCTATCTGACGAGCCCAAAAGCAAAACGAAACAGGTGGGGATGTATCAGATTTACATGTAGGTAACGGTACAATAACGCCATGAAGCACCCCTTCACCGAATCTGTGATGGAATTGCCTCATGGAAGAAGAGCTCGTTTGAACACAGTTTTAGGCGAACATCAGTTGATTACACGATCACCTTCATCATAATATGGATGCATCATATCAGACTTTGTATTCAAATACAATAGAACTTTGCACGAATTGCTTCTCGAAAGGAAGAAAAAACGAGGACGTGCACACCAAGCAGGCAGCACATCATTAATTGGTTTTGTTCACATACGCGGTTGTGAATTGAGATGAAAGAGATGCATTTTAGGCAATGCAAAGCCGTTTTGTTATTGCATTTGGGGAATTCTCGGTGGACTGTCCATGCCTTCTCGTGATCTGATGCTTAAACCAAAACACTACTCATGAGTTTGCTGAAAATTCTTTGACAGCCTACGACCGGTTTCGACCTTCTTGGAGCTCGTCTGACAGGCACAGGTGGGTTCCCGCAAAACCAAATTTGTTTGCAAATGAGTGTATTTCACTTGACTCCAGTTTCACTCTAACTGCGCCTGATCAGCAGTGCATATCCTCGATCTGGTCTACAATTCTTACGTACAAAGCGAATGTATTCTCATCAGTCTGCCAGCGCATCCTAGCCACACCTGGATGATCACGTGTAAACAGGTGATGTGTGTGTGTGTGTGCGGTTTGTCATGACCTGAGGAACCAGCACACAAAAGGTGAATGAAAAGTAAGTGGACAGTGTGATACGGACTTATCAATGTGCAAAAGACCCTGGTCACGCAGCTGCTGGCTAAAACAACAACTTGCTGTTGAAACGTTGCCTAAAACGATTACACTGTGTATAAACATATGCGCACTGTGAAGCTGATCAAAACTGGCGTTCTAGAGAAAACGGTCTGTACAAGCTAGGGAGTTGGTTTGGGTATGTTCTGAACGTATAAGTCGTCCGCAGCGTTTTCCAGTTTTCTCAAGTCATGAAGGATCAATAAATTCATAATTTATTGTGTCCATCGTGAGTTTCGACAGCGAGTAGTTGGCATTCTATCCCCAACTGGTGGCGACGTGAACAAAGTGTCTGCTTTCGCATACCTGTTCGATCAAGTAGATGATCAAGGTCTTGTGCAACTTTGGTATGCGCTACACACCCCAGTAAACAAGAGTTGAATGCTTTCAGAACAAAAAGATAGTTGATGAGATTCTTTCAACCGTGCCTACGTGAAACAGAACAAAATCTTCTTCTTTTTGACAACGACGCCAGTCTCCGTCGGCTTTTCAAGAATAAGCTATTTTATTCGTCACTAGAAGAGCTCGTCACTAGACGTCAACGTGATGTGGTTTCCCTGGTTGAAGGGTGAGCGCTGTCTTGTTTAAGTGAGAGCTGATCACACTGTGTTGATCAGCCGCTCGGGGCCGAATTGTCGAAAAGTTTTCAGCAACCTTTCTATTGATGACTCACAATCAAGCATAGTTCCGCTTGTTTCATTACACTCGTTACGGTTTGGCATTTTGTCTTGGTGTCGCACTTTATGGCTGTTATGTATCGCGTAACTACGGCACTAAGTGTCCCCACTATCGTCCGGGGAAATCCCACTACCACAATTTACAGGAGCCTTAGGTGCTTCGAGCCCCCAAATCGTGTAAGTTCGCCTTGTTTTGTTCGAATTATGCTCTACTATACTATATTCTGTTCTGTATTCTATTCTATTCTATTCTATTCACGGATGATTCCCCACTTAACAGTGAACTTTCTGCAGAAGTGATCCGGAATTGATTTTTTCTCACCGGCCTGATAACCAGCTGCACTGGTCAGTAATACGTGCGTGTCTGAATCGATCCACTGATTGGAGCGATGCGCCAGGTTTCTGTTCTTAGACATTTTATGTTTCGGTTTAGTAAAACATCCGTGCCTGAATCCATCCTCTCAGATATTTTTGGTTTCAAATTTTGAGTTGACCCGACACGATCCGTTGGACCATCCACTGGATATGCTGATGGTTCTAGAACAGTCCCTTCCTGTTCAACCTCAGATTTACAGCTACACGACGTTCAGTGAGTGACCCACTCGGCCCAGTACAAGCCACGCTTGACAGTCCCCATGGATTTCATTCGACATCACCGGGCCAATCCATAAACATAATTCTAGCCCACCCTAACTATTGATAGCATCAGTCATCAGGTATCGAGGCTGTGAACACTCTGAAACCAATTATAGTTAAGTTGAGTCATCTAGTTATGGAGTGACTATGCACCGATACGAATACGACCGAAATACTTCTTTTTTCACATGAACAGTTGGGGGAAGAATTCAATCCACTTTACGTTCTTGCAGTGAAACTTTATGGTCTTTCAACTTTTGGGGACGTGGTGGCTGGCTTAACCCTTCCGTAGGGGATAACATCCTGTGATATGTCGGAGGGTTGGCATTAGCAACATACTTTAGTTCTTCAAGGTTTCATTACAGAGCAGTGCTTTAGAAAACACTGAACTATCTGATCGGCAGCAGTGAACTCAGACTGTGATGTAGGCCAACTCTGATGGTAGCGGTCACCCCATCCAGGTTCACAATAAACGATAAATAGTCGATAACATTGTGTGACCAACTAAACCCCTGAGAAACATGATGTTCTCATCCAGTGAACAGAGTGTCACAGTGGCCTACACTATCATTTCAACCTAGTGTATTCCATATCTATGATAGTTGAACCAAAAGAGAACACAGACCCGAGACAACGATCAAACCATCGACTTTGCTAGGATAAATGTCCTTCTAGCTAAAATGCTACTGTAGATGATGACGCACGCCCGACTTGAGCACTAGGGCCACACAGGTACCTATGTGCGAAGTGATTCAGTAGATAAGGAAAGTAACAGATTAAGGGTTCGAGCTTCGCTCTCTCCTTCCCAGCATCCGTCTTTTTATCCGCAGTATGCTTTCCTGTTTACCATTGTTCAAGTTATTGTCTCTCCTACACCACCATTTCGATAATGTCTACCCTGGTTCACAGAATGCATTTGGCTTACACCCCTGATCATATACTAATAACTGACAGTGTAGCGACGGATGCTACTGATCAGGCATGCAAGTAGTCTGCTTCCTCCTAACTCCCCTTTGCGTCTTTGGAAGGTGGAGTTTGTAACGGAGTTTGCAGAACTGCTTTGCAGCATTCGTTTACAATTGCGCGATAGTCAATAAAGTTCAAGATATATTTTTTAAAAAACAAGATGTGTGATTATGTGGGCCAAAGAAGATATTGGAACGGTAGCTCCAGTCTTATGTTCATTCTTTTCCAAGTTTTCACAAGTGAGCAGTGTAATGAACTATTTCAATCACTAATACATACTTTCATTCAGTTCTACCTGGGGCACGACAGTAGATTGCATTCGAACGGCACTAGTTAGTGACGGACGCGACATGACAGGTGCAGTTTCACACGCCTCACTGCCAATTAACAAAATAAGTGTAATATCGGCATTCTCAATCCGCTACTTGATTTAACACACAATGCTGATCGATTCTGGAAAGGTATGAATCTGGATAACTAATTTTTGTCACCAAGTCACTGTTCTAAGTTAAGAAGGTAGGTCAGGGATTCACTGGGGAACCACATCTTCCCGTGTAGTCTTCGCGGTGCCATTGTGGTTAATTCCCTCCTTCCTAACTATGGTCATTCAAACTTATAAGCAGGTCCAGAGACACAACAAATAACTGAAAAAATCCGACTGAATGAACGATTTCGTCACTCAAAATGTATTGTGTATAGGGGGCTATTTTGAACGATTTAGCATGTATTAACCCTTATAACCTCACCCATGCCTGTCATTGTGAATTTGTGTGACTTTTTGTGGTCCCGCACACAACAGCCGGGCCGTCGTGTTGTCTGACGTCGCTCACATTTGCATGCACCGGCTTGTGGTGCTTTCTGTTCGAACTAGTCAAGCATTTCAGCAGTAGATTAGCAGGAACAACAGATTTCGTATATTTCCTTGAGTGAAGCGCAGCAGTTTCAAGGTCGTTCTCTTCCAATTCTCATTATTGATGTACGCTATCAAGATAAGCTGGTCAATAATTCATTTGAATTCATTGACAAGGGTCACGTGTCTCACCACTGTCCGAGCTCAAGAACCCAACGGGCTTAAAATGAACAACCAAACGGCAGTTATTAGGTTTCATGCATATCCATCCAGAGATTGCTGTAGAAAAAAATCAAGTTCGACAAGGACAGAAAGTGCCTGGGTTGCAACCAATCAGAAAGTTAATCGAAGGCGAAAAGCGACACGCAAATTAACCAGATGCTAGCGTAGCTCAAAGAGTTGAAAACCTGAGTAAAACAACTGGCAGAACAAGAGGAAACATTGATTAGGCCATGTGAAACACAAATCACCAGACAGTATTCCGTAAAATCCGCTATATCGACAGTCGGAGGCCAAAGAAAGCCAAAACTTCAGTGCATACTGCCAAAATTCACGCAAACTTTGCAGGAAATTCTCATCCTTTGACAGGAGCATCTGGCGAAGCGTCAAACACATAGGCTTGACGCACTTCGACCTGCAGTGTATCTGGGTGCTCGAATGCTCGTGAGTGATTAGTGACGAAGGCACTGACACCATTGTTCCCCAAGCTGCCCACAATTACGTCAGTCCAACAGTGTCATCGAGTAAATTGAGATGACAGGGCCCCGATTTATAAAAAATAAGAGTGTGTTCTTACCGTACCACTTGTCCATCTACTGTAGACGAATTTTGCCCTCCCCCGCTGGCGGATAGGATAATTTGCATCAGGGATGTGACGCCATTATGAAAAGCACCAGAACCCCACCGTCTGATGTGGCCTCAGTATTCCTTCATTCGTCATGCTTAGTCCGGCAATGTATCCTGACAGGTGGGCATCTATCGGTCCAAACACTAGTGCCAGGTAAGAACCCGTACCGAACACCACCCAACCACATTGGGCTGCGTGCCAGTAAGAAGGCCTCAGACTTATCCACTTGTCTGCAGAGAGATCATCCACAAGAGATACCAGACCTCACAGAAGGCAACTTCCGGATGGTCCACAGAAACTTCTTTCCATGTAGTTGCTTATGAACTGCGGTGACAGAACATAGGCAGGCAGGATCGGCTGCATGGGGTACGGCGTTCCTTCAATCAAACCTTGAATTACTGGGTGTCGTCGCCCGTGTGGTGACGATTGGTTCGAAAGCTCTCTACACTTTACGAGTTACACAGTAATTAGGAGCGTGCTCAAAACCAGATCTGTAACCAGCAGAGCACAACATCTCTCTTATTATCAGGGAACACCACTTCAACGCTACGAGTAGTTGACGGTGCTTCCTCGAGAGCTTCCCCGTCGACAGTAACTTGTAGATCAATTTACGCAAGTACTGGGTGACAAGAGTACGTTCTCACTAAACAACAGAATATACGGCTTGCTTCATTTTTCCAAACGTAAATAGTAACTTCAAACTGTCCATGAACTTGTTACCTCAAACAGTTGGTCGTAAGCTCATATGCGTGGATTTTCACTTCGGGAACAAGCTGCAGCTGTGGTGAGACCAAACAGAGAAGGACTTTGGTTCACTGGGCCTTTCGGGATCAAGCAAAATCTTCATCACGTAAGCATGAATGCTGGTTAACTTACACTGTAGGCAGACATGCTCTGAGATCTGTTCCCGTTTGACTGGTCGACCATTTGGGGCAAAGCCAAAAAGGTTCACTAGAAATTTAGAGAGGGTGAGATCATTCCGACGAAGTCGACGGCACAATGCTTGGAGAAGTGTCACTGACGAAAAGCAATGGAAATCTACGTGAAAATGAAGCCCACTACTAAAAGATATTTAACAAGGAAGAGTATACATTAAGCTGTTCTGGAGGAATGATATAATATCAAGACCTTCCCCGTACAGACTCTGCCAAAAAGCACTCATTTGCTCAAAATTTGGCTTNTCAACTGGATTCCTGCTGAATCTCTCGTCTGTGATATTCTTCAGTTGAATGTACTACACAAAGGCCGCCTCATGTTTCACTTGGTATGACGTTCGAGATATCGTAGTATATTTTTTTCAAGGAACCCTACTCATAGGGCCTTCAGCAGCCCTAATGAGTAGTTTCCTTCAAGAATAAATTGTTACTCAAGGACATTATTCCTGGAGGACATCGTAAACGAGAGATTCAATTGAGTCTCCCGTGAAAATCAAATTGATTTGCAAATGAGTGTATTTCTCGAAAACAGTCCAATTTGGGCTCAAGTAGATCATAAGGTTGGGGGAAACTCGGGGACTGCGCCTACCTGATGAGCCCCAAGAAGGGCGAAACTGATCGTGGGCTGTCGAAGAGTTTTCAGCAACCTTGTGAGTAGTTACATTATTCCTCTCTTTTTTCATTAGTCCATCACTTTGATCACACTCAATTAGCCTTTTGGATTTGGACATCACCCCTAACTGGATCTGTTCCCAGCACATACGTGTTATAAAAATATATGATTCAACGGACTTAATAAAAAGTGGGGATGGGCAGAACAAGACGTGGTTCGTTTGGCCATCCGGCACTTTCCTCATATGTGCCCCAGTGAATAAGTGCTGGTTTCTCTGTGTAAAAGAAATTCTCATTTCTTAGAAGTCGACTGAAGACTGTCCCTTTCTTGATCATGATGCTTGTACAAGGTGAGCTTGGAGTGGGGAGTGTTGGATCAGTCGCCGAACTTCACCGGGAAAAACCGCTTGTAAACATGCCTGACCTTAACCCTGATCATGCGACGCGTGAGAAAAAGTGAGAAAAAGTTTCATCTCACAAAAAGGTGTGATAGACATAGAAAGATCAGTTTGGTAATGACCGTATGCTGGTATTGAATGACCAGTAATGCGTTGACGTACCTGTCACGTAAAATGCAACAGTTTACACGTAAAGTATACGGAAGGTCGAAGTATAAACGTTCTACACACGTAAACCATGGGGAAGTTGGCCGACAGTTAGAAACAAGTACTCAAAACCCAAGTGCACACAGAGTGGGCTCGACCCAAGGACAAATCATCGATCAGCTGAGCAAATGAGGCGGGTTTCTCACATGCATATCACATGTCATTCAACCCGCCGATTAGTCTAGCACCAGCTGATAATGTCAGGGTCACCTGTCGACATTTGTGTGACATTCCAAATGAAACAGATTTCTCTGAATCACAAATAGGAAAAAAGGTGGGCATAAAATTGAAAAACCCACAAACACGGCTAAAAAATGTACACACCAGAAACATTAGCAAGTGCAACAACTGAATCAAAACAACTGAATAGAAACACATGGCCGATGAAGTCGATTAGAGAAGATCCTTCAGAATTTCGTAGGAATTAACACCAAATCAAACAGATAAAACCAAAGGTTTCATATCAGCCCGTCAGTGCCAAAAAACACAGACAATAAGTAGTCAATTCTGGTAACGAGTACCCCTGAATCGTCCCAATATACCAAGCATGACAAAGCTTGCTGAACCTATAGAAACCACTTCCATTATACAGCCATTTATCAAGTAAAAACACAAAAATGAGATCTCTCAAAGACACCGTTAAAGAATATCTGAAAGTAATCCTTCACATGTAACATACTCCTGGTTCCTGGTTGTTAGGCGACCCGAACGGAACACGACGGTTGAGACACTGTCAGGTTGCCAAAGCAAAGACAACAATAGTAGACATGCACAGGTCGGGTTAGCCCGACTGTGTCAGTCTCACTGACACAGTCAATATTCCGATCATGCACGAGCTAATCATTTGCACCAAAATCAAAACCCACACGAGTTGCCCATAAGTGAATAAATGCTGACAAGCCGTTTCTGCCTGTTCTCCAACCACATGTATCCCAACACCATCCCCCCACCACATACACGATCCTACGGTTACCAACCTATCAGAAATCCGTGGCTCGCTGAACCCACCTGGTCTCCATTTCCGTCACTTTTTGCGGCGACCTCCTCAGCGCATCCACGGACATTGTGCCAAATATCAAATTCAGTATACTTGCTCATTGATGGTAGTACAGTAGCGA